AAACTGTCTTCATTAGGTAGAGAAATAACAAACTTTTTTTAAAGTAAAAAGAGAAAAATCACCTTTTTTATGGGTTTTACAAATTTAGTTGACAAAATGGAGCAAGGTTTTGGCTCATGAAAAGATCTCAAAACTTCCCTGCTCAACAGGGAACAGAGACCACACTTCAAAAAAAAAGACTTCGACAACACTTTGGAACATCAAAAGGTCAAGACAGACTATATAAATGCACATATTTAAAAATCAAAATGCACTGAAATAACCCCAACATTTTTGCCTCCATAGCATTTTTTGGGTAGGTAATTACAAATTTTCTTTCTAAAATTCTTTTAGAGGATATGGGTGTTGCTGACTGGGCCAATACTTGTTTTCAATCACTATTTGCCCTACAGAAGGTGATGGCAAGCTGCATTCTTGAACCGCTACAGTCCTTGAGGTGTAGATACACCCAAAGCGCTGTTAGGGAGGGAGTGCCAGGATTTTGACCCAGCAACAGTGAAGGAATGGTGATGTAGTTCCAAGTCAGGATATTATGATGTGGTTTGGAGGGGAACTTGTTCATTCCTGGAATTCTTATTCTTTATAATAAACAAGTCTTTCTGAGCAAACTGATCAAAATTGGCCTCTCACTCATTTCCATTTAAGTTCCTTAATCTATTTGTGACTTACTGTAAGAGTATTGTGATTTTCATTCATCTATAACAACATTTAATGCTTATGCAAGGAGATTTTTCTTTAATCATTGTCCCAAACAGAATTTAACCTCTTTCAAAAACTTTTCTTCACAAATCACCCTCTTTACCCTTAGGAATCTATCACATTGCTCCTTTCAACAGGTATCAGACTTGCTTTGGGAGTCACTTTATATGTACTCTAAAAGGAATGCCTTTGCAGTTATTCAACCACAAGGTGCATCACTGACTCAAACATTCAATGACGGTATTTTTCCAACATCACAATTAGTAGGGGGTTCTACCCATGGGAGCACAGAGTCAGGTACACAATTTTCAAATAATTGGCCAAGAAGAGCGAGGACAAAACGGGAGGCTGGATAAATGAGGGAGAAAGCAATTTTGCAGATTGTGACATAGCACAGTTTTTTTTCATGTAAAGCACAGTGGCTACCTTTAATTTCTTGGGCTGAACTGTCTGTACCTATGCTCTGGATATCAATGATCTTCACAGCATTCTAAATTTTTAAAAATCCACTTTGAGTGAGGATCGTAGAGAATAAAAAAAAATGTCTGGGACAATTGAAAGTAACAGAGGTGGAGGGAAACAGTAGAGAAAGAAGGGTCAGAAAACTGGAAAGACAGAAGGTTAAAAAATTGATATGATGTTAAAATAAAAGAAATAGCATGAATATTTTTAATTTCAAAGTAATTCTATACACCTAATTACAAGAACACCAAAACAAAAAGATCTTGGTTGTTTTGACAATGCATTTTTGGGCCAATGAACACAGAACAGTTTAGAGAAGAATGGAAGGGAAATATCAAGTGGAAAGGAAAGGCAATAAATGAAGGCTAGCCAGAAACATCTATGTCCCACAACAGAATAAAAAGCTCACTAGCACAGAGAGTAGTTGAAGAGTCAGGACTAAAAAAGGCCCTTTGACCAATCCTATCCATGGCAGTCATTGACCTATTCTAAACAATTTTCTGGCACTTGGTCTGTAGTCTTGTACACAGTAGCATTTCAAGTTCTCATCTAAACAGCCTTTGAATGCCTTGACAGTTCCCTCCTCTACCACCCTTTTAGGTAGCAAGTTCCAGATACCCACCACCCAAGGATCTAAAAATTCTTCAAATCTTCAAAATTCTTCAGTCCTCCTGCTCCTTATCTCAAAACTGTTGAGGGGAGTGTCATTGAGTCATTTAAGGGAAGTCATGAGAGAAATGAAGGAAACACAGAGTGCGATGAAAAGGAATAGGAGGAATGTGGCATGAAGTTGATGGGCCAAGCAACCTGCTTTGTGCCTGTGTAATAAAACAGTAACAATCTGAGCAGACATTGAAGGATTGATTAGGTTTGAGAAAGGCTAAAAAGTACATACTGGGCCCAAAAGGCAAAGCTGTCCACAGGGAAGTATTTATTACACACTCTACCCAATGACATTGCAGTACCAACACATTACAAGAAAACAAAGCTTCCACTTAAATCTAATGTTCTGCCGCAACTGTAGAAGATACTATTATCGTAATTAGGCCATAGAGAAGAGGCTCTTCGATCCATCGAATCTGTACCAGCAAACTGCAGTAAATCTACACCATGCTCTGCTGCTCAGTAGATTCCACTAGTGAGGCGGCTCAGGCGTCCTCAAACATATTCGGAGTTTAGAAGGTGAAAAAAAAAGCCACAAAGAGCTCGGCTGGGCAAAAAAGGTAATGGGTCATTGGATACCTGTGAGGGACTGAAGTTCAGTTTTGAGCAAAGGTCACCGGACCCGAAACGTTAACTGATTTTGTTTCTTCACAGATGCTGCCAGACCTGCTGAGCTTTTCCAGCAACTTCTGTTTTTGTTCTCGATTTACAGCATCCGCAGTTCTTTCGGTTTTTATTCAAGGGACTGATTCATTCCTAGCTGCAACCAAAGGTGTGCTGGAGAGAGGCGAAGGGGCAGGAAATCGGCAGAGAGGGGGTAATTTCTGCTGTTGAGGAGGCACCGACAGATCTCAGACCCTGGGACCGGCTCCTCAATGGAGAGGCTCGGATGGAGGGATAGGGAGCGAGACCATGTTCGGGAAACCGTTTCGCAATTCACTGCACCTTCAAAACCATACACACTACCGACAATTTATTAAAATGTCAGTGTTTAATGTCGATGGGGGGAATCCGCCCCATTACAGAGACGGATCCCACGAGGAGGTCCTGTTGGGTTGGATTATAAAAAGCAACATTAAAGATCAACTCCCCATAGGCGCGGGGGGGGGGGGGGTGTTGGTGGTTTGGAAGAAGAGAATCGTTAAAGTCGATGACACATGAGCATGTGTCCTTGCTGGGCCTCCCCTTCATCATTGCGAGAGAGCGAGGGGAAATCCCCGTTTTCTATCTCCCACCTCTCCGCCTGTACACTGGACAATTCCAACAGGCCACAGTGCCCCACTCAGGCGGCCGTTCAGCCCATTCGCGGCTACCCAAGCTCTTCCAGGGAGCAGCGTTACTCACCACCTGCTCTTCATTTCCACCCACCCCCATATTACCATTGCACATGTCTCCGCGGGGAGTTATGAAGTAACAGTGATAAGGGGACGTCAAGCTTTTTTCCCCCTAACTCGTTAAGTATCACCAGGTCCCCTTCCCCAAATTCCCGGGGGGGTTGGGGTGTGCAAGAAAAGTGAAATTAGTTTTTAGGGACCCCTGCAAAAAAAAGGACAAAACTCCTGGTGCTAAAAATTGAATAGTACAGAAATGGGCAAGTGATTTTTTTTAAAAAGTCGGGACATCTTTCGCTACACACGTAAACTCTCTCACTGTGAACTGTAATCATTAACTGAGCCAGTAAGATTTCAACCTTCCCGTGATTATAGTCTGCCACCTGCCTGCTGTAGGTTATTCAGCTTCACCTCGCTCCAATTGCAAACAGAGATCACGTCTTAGCTCCGAAATATCATAACCTGGCCAGGCTGGAAGTTTTCCTTAAGATTCAGAGTTGGTTTTATAAATATCAAAAGCCCCCATCAGATCAATCAATTTTGGTTGAAGTAGAATACACATCTTTAAAAACGCCTAGTGTTTTACGTTAACAGCGAGGCGGGCTGTTCCGTAAGCAGCTGAAGCTTCAATCAGTATTTTAAGTTCGGAAGTCCTGTTTGTGTGTTGGGGGGGTTGTAGAGATCCTCAATCAAAGACACCAGGCAGGACTCAGCTTCCCTGGGATCCGGCGGAGCTGGCTATAGCCAGTGTTTGTCGCCCCTCTCTCACTCCATCCCTCCCTACCCTTTCTCCCCATCCCTCTCCTGTATCCTTTACCTTCCCCATCCTCACTCTCCCTATTCGGCCTCCTCCAAAACCCTCCCAAAAATGTACATTTCGGGTCAGTTCGCTTCTTGTTAATTTCATAGACACAATCGGACGCGTCAAATCAGATCCATTGAAAATGCAATTAATTAACCCGGGGGCGAGGGGGGAAAGAGATAAAGATGGGAGAGAGATAGAAAAAGGGGATAGAGAAAGATAGGATAAAATAAGAGAGTTGTAGCCGGAGAAAGGAAAAATAAACAAACATTGTACAAGAAAAGAATTACAAATCTGAATTAGCCTGCAATCCTTCCGAAATGTCAAAAAGGATTTAAAAGGACTGCAGGGAAATGTGTTTATAACGGTACTGCCCCCCCGGGGGTCAATCTCAGCAGCAAAGAGATTTTAAAATCTAACACCATCTTCCCCCACCCCATACACACACACACACACACACACACAAAAAGACGCCGAAACGCTCCCCGGACTGAAAGATGAGATTTCAGCAGCGGTTTCTCGGTCTCCCCTGCGCTAGTACTGGCTGTAAAGGGGAGTAAGAGGGGTCGGGGCCTCCGCCATCAGTCTTCAGATAAACAGAGAGACAAACACAGGCACAAGCGGCTGCTAACGCCGCAGAGAAACCGGAGCCGGCTCCGCGTCCAAAGGCAGAATAAAGTCGCAGAATAGAACTGGGAGAGAGAGAGAGAGGGAGAGAGAGACAGAGGGAGAGATATCCCACATCTGTGCGGGGAAGCAGCTTGAAATTCCAAGTGCCGGCTAACAAAGACGGATCCGCCAGCTCTCACAACACACACACACACACACACACATATATTTACAAATGTACCTCAGCGCTTTAACACAGTTTCAGTCCCAGCTACTACAGGGATACACACCGGTATCTCATCAAGTGAGCTCCCGGGACAAAAATATATTTTCTCTGCAAACAAAGCAAGCCAAATGCAAAAAAAAAGCAGAAAGTCAAACACCATTAAATTATCATACAAGGCAGATAGTTACATTATTTGGTTTTTGCATACCTTTTCCCCTCTTTCCAAATAAACACGTCTGTGTTTTTTTATATATCGATACAATCGTCTTTTCATTCAGTAGCGGCCTCAGTCTAGAGGTAGTCACCGAATTATGCACGCTATTATTAGCGCAGCATACAAAACAGTTCACAGTGCGCGCCGCACTCGCTCACATCCACCTCTCCGGCTCCATGTAGCAAATCAGCAGATTGGAGACGTCATCGCCCCGCGTCTCTCTCTCTCTCTCCCTCACACTCACCCACTCAAGGCCACATCAGAGAACTACAGCCGAGCCAACCTCAGCTCCCTGTGACAACTGCTGCTTCGCCATCTTTGATCCTGGCACCAGCTTCCTCTCTCTCCACCGCTCCCCCCCCCCATCACAGCACTACTCCATACACACCATCTCCACAACCCCTACCCATTCCACTGTGTTGTCCCCCACCTCCAAATCTAGTGGGAACATCAAACACCTCCTCCAACTCCCCAGAGGTTGTGGGATAACCCTCCTCCCCCTTCATCAACCCCATCTTTTCAACAAAATAAAACGCAAAGTGTTGAGGAAAAACCTCAGCGGTTCTAGCAGTAGTGTGTTAACGTTTCAAGTCTGCTGACTCCTCGTCAGAACTACCTTTTTAAAAGGTGATCACACGTTTAGTTGAAGTGTCTGTAAACTTCCCCAAGGTTGGGAAGTAGCGGAATCTCGGGGTGTTGCCTATTTGTCTCTAATGTTATTGAATTTTGATACAGCAACTACTGTTCAAGTCCACAATGCACTTTCATCCCACTTCTCAAACGCTTTACTGGATAATTCTCACATGTAGCTGGAACTGGGCCATTTATTCCTCGCCTAATGCAAAGCCAAACTTCAGAAGTGGAATTTCATGACTTTAAATTCCGTTCGCGCAAACCCCGCTTTTAATCTTGGGGCTAAAGTGTCTTTGAAGTAAGTCAGAAACGTATTACAAATCCACATTCTCCACAACTTGGTGTTTCTGTAAACTGTACAGACCTGTCGCTGGAAACATGAGTGAAAATTGCATTCCCTGTATGTAAAATATATTTTAAAATCACCTCCGAAACTCTGATAGTAACAACCAGTTCCATACCTAATAAACCCACCCTAAACACGTGGCTAAACCTTGGCCAACTTATTTAGTTATCGCGGCATAATTTACTGTGTCCCAACACAAAAATATTTAAGAAATGAATCCGATATCTTCACTAACACGCAGTCAATATCCACATCCATTGAATTTTACAAAAACGGCGGGGTCGCTGGAGGGAAATACGACTCGATTATTTTGTCTTTTGAAAAAATGAACTTAAAACAAAACATTTCAAGCCAACATTTTTGTTTTTGTGTATGTGTGTGAGAGAGAATACCGCTGAAGTGTTCATTCCAATACAGGAGCTGAAATAATGCAGTAGATTGCCTTTATGATAAGGTGCTGGTTCTGTAGAAGCAGATTACCGCACTAGTGAACACATGTTGTAAATCAGAACGCTGTTACACATTAATGCCAGTGACTTCCTGTGCGAATAATGACTAAAACATACAACAAGATACCATGAGCGACTGTGTGTAAGGACCAGCTGAGTTTTTCATTGGGTAGGTGGACACTGTGTTTGTAAGCGGCCAAATGAGCTATTCACAACTTGAATGAGGCTAGTCACGATGTTTTGTTGAGAATGTCATATTACGGCTCGTCGTGCAGAGTCGCTGATTAAAATCACTCCGCTGCAGAAACCAGAATAAAACAAATCACTGCGAATGCTGAAGATCCGACACATAAAAAGCAGCAAATAGCTGGAGAAACTCAGCAGGTCTGACAGCATCTGTGAAGGGAGAGACAGTTAACGTTTCCAGTTCAGTGACGCTACTTCAGAGCGGTACAGACCTGCTACAGGCATTTTGTCCATCGGCCTCTATTTGAGCCTGTTTTATAATAATTGTGCAAGGTGCCTGGGCTGGTCATGTATAGAAAGAACTAAACTCCACCCTCTGTAAGGAGCGTTCACTCCACTATTGCTTACAGTCATTGGTACTACTATACAGCTGTGTATTTACTTTAAATAATATACTCTACATATGTGAGGCGTGATTTAATCTAGATAAGCAAACAATTTATTAAATGCAAGCATTCTGTATATTACTGACTATATTTTAAATAGGTCCAATACTATTGACAGGCATTTTGACAGATTATCACACTATTGCCCTAGCTCCCGTTCCTGGTGGAGTTGAAAGAGCCGGTGGTCCTATATTGAATCACAGTAAGATGCTGTCAGACCTGCGGAATTTCTCTGGCGATTTGTTTTTGTTTGATTTCCACCATCCGCAGTTCTGTTTTATTTTAACTCCGCTGGTAGCGTATCAGAGCAGAACGTGTGAGAGAGTTATTAGAGTGGCGTGTGCTGTTAAGCTTGCACAAGCCAGGACTGAATCTCTTTAGCGCCGTTTAATATCACTTAGGGCTCGCATTGAATTGTCCCCAGAGACATCCTACAAAGGGGTCTACTGCTATATTCTTCGGGAAAAACCTTGCGACCTATGCATTAAAATACACGCTAAACAAGACTTCAAGCAACAGAGGCAAGTTTTTTTTTAATTCTCTCCTGGGCTAGTGTTTATTGCCTTCACTAGTTGCTCTGGAGAAGGTGGTGGTGAGCTGCTTTCTTGAACAGCTTTAGACCATTTGGTATCAGGTCACCCACAATACAGTTTACAGGGGGAAGTTTCAAGATTTTGACCCAAAACAGTGAAATATTTCCAATTCCGTATGCTGAGCGGGTTGGAGGGGAACTCGCAGGGGGAAAGAAGGGGTGTTCCCATGTATCTGCTACCCATGACCTTCTAGGTGGGAGACGGTCACGGGTTTGCAAGGTTTCCTACCTTGCATGGGGGCAGATGGCCCTCAATCTGTGGAAGGGTCACTCGACCCGAAACGTTAACCGATTTCTGTCCACAGATGCTGCCAGACCGGCCGAGCTTTTTCAGCGGACCGTTCTTGAGCCCGAAATATTGGATCTATTCAACTCACCACCAGAAAGATAACGCATTTGAAACACTTAGTTTTCCATTTCAGAACCGGAGGAGGAAAAAAAAAGAGGAATTTGCAGATTCTTCGTCATACCCGAATTGACCCATTGTTAAAAAAAATTTCCGTCTCGCTAGTTCGATAACTAAAAGAACTCGAATTGAGATTCCCTCTGGTCAGCAGAGAATCCCCAGCTTCTGTTGGACAGCGCCCTCTCCATTTAAAAGGCGTAGTCAAGAAACATGAACAGCATTGAGCTCGTTGCTGCATGTACTCTTCCTGACTAAATAAAGTTCACCACAAAATGACTAAATTGCATTTTCAAACATCTGTATTTGCCAATGACTTTTGCGCCTTGAACAAATATGGAGGCAACATAATTGTAAGCAAGTCAGATACTTTTTTTTTGAAACTACTTTTATCAGCTCGACTAATGAATGGTGTAGGTTACAGGAACTATACCTAACATAAAATGTTTGAAGTGTTGGAAGAGCAACGGGTATAACGAGCTCGAATAAGTTTTAATTCGATTTAGGCTAAAGTGCTTATTGTAAAACATTTACCAGGCATGATTACGTTATGATTTTAAGTTTCGGCTCTTTAAATTTGGGATCTTTCTTAAAATCAGGGGGAAGACTAACAAAAGAAAAAAAAACTTAGTTTTTTTGTTCTCTCCCCAAGGAGTCGTTTTTAAAAGAAAACAAAACTTGTAGAAAAGCCAAATATGAAATTAAAATCAAGTGGGGGAAGTCTACCAGAATTCCTACTTCACCTCAGTACTTTCCGAAAATCTGTCTCTCGAGAACGCCTACACAGCAAATGGAATTGAAATGACGTTTCCTATGAACTAACTCGCTTGCTCACTTCCAGATTTTATTTAGGTTGCAAAGTGTCCCCCCATATCTCTCTGCTTCAGTCTCTTTAATAGATTCATACTTAAGAGTAAAAAGTTGCTGTCGGTCGGCACATCTGCTGTTTCAGAGAACAGTGGTTTTAATACCATCCCCTCCGCTGCCTTACTTGTACAAGCAGCTACTTATAGACAGTGGTGCTTGCTTCAATTTATAACGTCTGGACGTGCCCATTTTACTCTTTAATGACTTTGAGCTACACATTATCAGGCCCCGTATGTTGCAAGACCGAGGACGTGCTCATGATCTCAACTCGTGGTTTTCAAGGATTGGCAGTGAATTATTAAGTCTTGTTCGATCTTGCACGTGCCTCTACTGCAATCATTTTCACCTATTTCAATGGTTCATACACCTTTAGCATTGATATAAAACATGCATGTTTTATGTAGGATTTCCAACATCCTCCGTATCCTAGCTTCTGTTTCCTTCTTTGTACCTGAGCCAGTTACTCGCTAACTAGCAACTGCTGATCCGTAATTGGCAGTTAAGAGTCAACCACTTTGCCCTCGGTCTGGAGTCACGTGTAGACCAGACCAGGATTTTCCACCCTAAAGAACCAAGTGGGGTTTCAATGACAATCAACAGTGATCATGTGATCACTATTAGGCTAGCTTTTCATTCTATTCTTTCTCAGTAAATTCCACCATTTGCCAATTATTCAGCGTGGAAACAGTGCCGACCAGATATCCTACATTAATCTAGTCCCACTTGCCAGCATTTGGCCCATATTCCTCTAAGCCCTTCCTATTCATATACCCATCCAGCCACCTTTTAAATGTTGTCATTGTACTAGCCTTTACCATTTCCTTTGGCAGTTCATTCCACGCACGCACCATCCTCTGCAATGATAAAGTTACCCCCTGGGTCCCTTTTAAATCTGGAATCCCAGAACATGAGCTTGGGGCTCTGGCTTACTAATCCAGTAGTATTGCAACTATCTTCACTCAGTGTTCAATTATTTATCAGTGAAGTTTCCCTTGTTCCATGTATACTGCACAATGCAGCAGTGAATAGGTGGGCAATGGATACAAGTGTCTTGTTCTGATTATTGGTGTTGGATTGCTTGTTTATTGGAAGATAGAGCAGAAACTTAATTGATTTTTTTTAAATAGGCGTTTGAAAGGATATACGCAGGATGGATAGGGAAAAGCATTTTTTTTTCACTGATGAGGAAATCTTAAAACCAGAGGCACACCATTCAGGAGAGAAACTGGAGATACACTTCTTCACATTCAGACTGGTGTATGTGTGTTGACTTAATGCCACAAATTATGCAGTAGGTGCTGTTTTAATTTGTTTTAAATTGATAGTAGTAGATATTTGCTAGACAAGGCAAGTAGCTGGAATTAGGAGGTACATCAGCCACATCTCAGTGAAAGGCAGAACAAACTCAATGGGTTAGATGGTCTCCTCCTGTTCCTGTGTATTTTGCTTATGCTGATGTTATCATGGGATACAATTAGCAAAGATTCTCTTTCAATGTTTCCCATCTTCAAAGAGGATGAGATTGAAAATGTATCCAGAAGATGGAGTCTAGTTGTTTTTGGAGGGTGGGTTGTTGTGGTCAGGGTATTCTTTTTAATTCACTTGAGGAATGTGGGTTTTGCTGGCTGGGCTGGCATTTATTGTCCATTCCTGATTTCTCTGCTGGATTTAGTGTTCTGTTGGTAATTTTCTTTCTTATCATTTCAAAAGTTGGTTAACTGTTCAGTTAGAGGTGATTTCCCATGGAAATCTTAAATATAGGATTAACCATCTCTTGCTAAATCCAAGTGTCTGAGGAATAAAGTGTAATTTGATTGCACATATAAAGAGAAGTATTTATTTATCCAGTAAAGCAAAGGATGATAACCCATCCTTATTGTACATTCATTTGGCTGCAGTCTGTTGTTCTGCCATCCAAAGTATTAAGAAAAAAATCTTGTTGACTTGGCACAAAGTGATAGTTACAATGGGATAAATACTTGGCATTCAAGTATCAAACATCATCCAATGACAGAAGACCATGAACTGATTTTGGCAATTAACTATTTAATGATTTACCAATGCAGCAATGAAAACAAATATAGACATCAATTATTGGGATTGGTGTAAGTTCAAGTTGCTTAATGAAGAGCTGACTTACTCTTTTTAGCATTCATGTTAATGTTCAGAAATTAGAATTCTAGGTGCCCAAAATAGAACATGATCATTTGCCAAACTTTCTAAATTGAATTTTTGCTTTCACATTCTTCATGATATAGGAAGGTAGTCAGTGAGACATCACATTGAAGAGGGCATAGCAGCTATTGAGTGAAGTATATAGTGTAACCAGTTTATGAGCAATTGGAGGAATTTACATTTTTATTCTTAAGAAACCGAGGCGCATAGCCAAATGCATGGAACATGCTTAAAATTCTGTGAACAATTACTAAGGTTGAAAGGAATAGGATTTGATTGTTGTCACACATAGCTAGATAAAAGTGAGAAGTTTTGTTTTGTGTGCAGTATAGGCAGATCATAATATACAAGTTCATGCAGATCATAGTGTGATTGAACAGAGTGAGGCATACAAAGTTATAGTTTGACAAATAGTCATTAGGTAATAAAAGCCAAAAGAACTGCAGATGCTGTAAATCAGGAACAAAAACAAAGTTGCTGGAAAAGCTCAGCAAGTCTGGCAGCATCTGTGAAGGAGAAAACAGTTAACGTTTCAGGTCCGGTTCTGAGGAAGGGTCACCAGACCCGAAATGTTAACTCTGTTTTCTCCTCCACAGATGCTGCCAGACCTGCTGAGCTTTTCCAGTCATTAGGCAATGTTTAGATTCGGTTCTACAAAACATTGCATTCTAAGGATTTGATTTATTATTGTCACCTAGGTACAGTGAAAAGTTTTGTTTTGTGTGCAGTACAGGCAGATCATAGCATACAATATGTTTAGGCTAATAGAACTGAGCAAAGAATGTAACGTTACAGTTGCAGAGAAGGTGCAAAAAGAGTGAAATCAACACTAAATTAAAAATTTGAGTGCTTCACGTCAAAGTCTGATAACAATGGGGAAGAAGCTGTTCTTGAATCTGTTGGCACATGTTTAAGCTTTTGTATCTTCTGCCTGACGGAAGACATTGGAAGAGATTATAACCAGGTTGGGAGCAGTCTTTGATTATGTTGGCTGCTTCCTGAGGGAATGGGAAGTATAGACGGAGTCAATGAATAGAAGGTTGGCTTATGCGGTGGACTGGGCTGTGTTCACAGAAAGTTCCTGTCCTCTGTGGAAAAAGTTAGAGAGATCCTATGATCAGCAACAATCTAAATTTTACTAACACCTTTATTGAAGTGAAATGCCAGGGCACTCTGCAGGAGCATTATCAAGTAAAATTTAACATTAAGCCACATGAAGAGATTTGGGAGCAGCTGACCGAAGGCTTGTTTAAAGAGGTAGGTTTAAGGAGTATCTTGCAGCATATGATTTTCCCAGATAGGACAGATGGTGATTGACTTGAAACGTGTACTTTGTTTGTTCCCCTCTGATTCTGCCACAACCCATTCAACATTTTCTCTTTCTTTAAGAAGCCATTGTGCCAGTTAACCAAAGGCTTGCTTGAAGAGGTAGGTAATAACATTAATCTTCTTTCAAATTTATTCATTTGATATGCGTGTTGTTGGTTGTGCCAGCATTTATTGCCCATCCCTAGATGCCCTGGAGAAGATGGTGATGACCTGTCTTCTTGAATCACTGCAGTCCATGTGCTGTAAATAAACTCATAATGCCATTAGGGAGGTGAGTTCCAGGACTTTGACCAGTACAAGTTCATAAATCTGAGTAGAAGTTCACAAAAGTAGTAAAGAGAAAGAAGGCAAATTTTAACATAAATAAATTGAAATCTTAATTTATCTTACATTTAATGATTAACATCATGAGCATAAAAGAAACATTTATGCCATACAAGTGCCAGGCCCTGGCCATCTCCAAAAAGTAGGATCTGTCTATTGCCCCTTGATGTTCAGCATTACCATTACTGAATCACCTACAATTAACCTGACTGGAGGTCACAAGAGAAAATCAGAGGCTAGAAATTCTGTCATGAGTACCTGACCTCCTGTCTCCCCAGAGCCTATCCACCATCAAGAAGGTAAAAATTAAGAGTATGATGGAATACTCTCCGTTTGCCTAGAGAGCTCTAACACCACCCAAAAAGCTGTGTCATCCAGAACAAAGCAGCCTCCTTCCTGTACCAATGCATGATGATAGCAGTGTCTACCAATTTTAGGATGCACTACATTAAATCACTAAGGCTCCCAGGACAGCACCTTCCAAATCTATGACCTCTACCAAATAGAAGGACAAGGGCAGCAGACACATGGAAACACCACTTCTTGCAAGTTCCTCTCTAAGACTCACTCTATCCTGACATGGAATTATATCACTGTTCACTGCCACTGGGTCAAAGTCCTGGAACCTCCACAACCCAAGGGCTACTGCAGTTCAAGAAGGCAGTTCATCACTACCTTCTCCAAGGCAATAAAAATGTTTGCAGGCCCACCCTCTAATGTCTACATTCCATGACTACATTTTAAAAATATTCCAATCATATCAACTCCAATAGTCAAATGAAATGACACACGTTTTAAAAATCTTCTGCTCCCAGAAAGGAACTCACAATACATTGGGTACAAGGTATGGGCACATCTCTTACTATGCAGATGAGAAATGTCTATGTTTCCTGTTAGTTTCCTCACAGTGTACAGTCAACCATTAAATGAAACTAACAACTGAAAGGCAAAATTGTGGCAGGACAGAGCTATGCCTACACTCACTGGAAGAAATTAACTTTACCATCCCCTTACCCTACAGAGCTATGGCTGGCTAATTGTTTCAAAGTGAGATTAATGCTGGCGTTTACAAGCTATTCACAATAAACACAAGTAGACAGGGGGCTACATGCCCAGATTTGGCACAACTTGAGTTGCAGTGATTCATAGGCTGGACTTTGGCCAGTCTGATAAGCACTTATTGGCACAGATCAGACACCTGGTCAAACAGTATTGCTCAATGGCAGTAGGGTGTGTGTGGTGAGTATCACAAGGCAAACAGCAATGTCAGCTAGTGGGCTTCAGCTAATTATTAGTATAAACCTGAATTTGGTTTCAATATTACCTTTAGCAGGTTTTTTTTTTTTTTTGGAGTAATGTGATGTATTAGTTCACCAAATTTAGTGGTTTTTCACTTTTTTTTCTTAAATCAGATGTAAGTGGAACCCATGATTCACACAGAAAACAAATAAGGGTTAAGTCACCATAGTCCCAGAGGACCATAGGGCTGCTTTGTCATTAGAGAGAAAGATGACTGATGGTGGTTTAACTTGAGGGTCTTTAACTTAACAAAAGAAGAGCTTGAGAAGGAGTGTACTTCGTTGTCACCTCAGGCAGTGCAGAAGAAATATAAATTCTTGGTTTCTTGATATGATCACAGAGGTATAACCTTTCAAAAAACATGGGAATATTTTCATCCAATTTTCCTGCGACATGATTTTCATCCTTAGACATTGATTTGGTGTTTTCAAATTGATCAGAAATCCCACCTGATAAGTCAGGCTCCCACTATATATGTCCAGTCATCCACACAGTCTCTATTGGAAATCTCCTCCAGCCCCAAGCCCTCTGAGAACATTGCATTTTTTCGATTTTGGCCTCTTAGGAATCCCCTAATCCTATCCCCTCAGTATGGAAGCCTCTACTTTTAGAAGTGTAGACCTTGAATTCAAGACTCTTGCCCTAAACATCTCAACTTTGCCTCCTTTAAGACACAAGCTAAAAACCTACCTCTTTGACCAAGCTATTGGTTGCCTGTACAAGTTTTTCCTTCCTTGACCTGGTGTGAATTGAGGATTACTCTCTTGCAAAGTGTCGCTTGAAACATTAAAAATGCCTATAAATGCAAATTGTTTTTTTTTTCAGTAAGCAAAGGCATGTGGCATAATTGAAGAATCTGAAAAGTTTATGTCTTGCTTCCGGGAGTCTGCTCCTCATGATTGGAACATATTGATTGATTTAACTTTAATAATGTCTTGCTTGAGCATCGAACTAATGTTCATGGTGAATATTTATTCTCCTGTAATTTACTGTTTGCGATAACATCAATCTGTGGAAATGAGAATCCAAATAGGCATTAAATGAAGATTATAAGGTGATAATGTTATAGACAGATCATGAGTAAACAATATTTAACAAACCACAGTTTGAATAATCGATCTCATTTTGCAATTCAGTTAATTTCCTAAGGCGTGATATGAGAATTATGTGAGATTTTCACTTCTGTGATTTGTGAATGGAGTCTCATTTCTTTAGACATCGTCCACGTGTATCTCAAATTTGGCAATTATATAAATCCCATCGTTTCGATCTCCAAATATCCACTCCCTCCTTCCCCACCTCCTCACCCTCACCTCTTTGTAAGATGCATCCACAGACTGGGCTCTGAGTTCACACCGTACCACCCACTGGTCACATTTCAGCTGTGACTATTCCTGCCTTTGTGATACCACCCTACCAACCCTTTCCAACATTCTCCAGCTTCACAACTCTTCAAGGTCTTTGCACCCCTCCAATTTTACTTCTGGCATATTGCTGAATTATATTAGTACAGTCTGCAATGGAGCTCTGACTGGAAGCTATTGAGGGGAGCAGGGTGTTCCAAACATCTTGCCCTGGACTTACTGGTGCTGAAGAAGGTTCATCACTAACACTTTAAGAAGTGAATGACACTTCATTTTGTTAAACATATTCATTCACAGGTTTGAGTGTCACTGGCTAGGTCAGCATTTATTGCCCATCCTAATTGCTTAAAGGTAATTAAGGGTCAACCACATTGCTGTGGGTCTGGAGTCACATATAGGCCAGACAAGGTAAAGATGTTTTTCTCATTTGTTCATGAGATGTGGAAGTCAAGGGACAAGGCCAGTGTTTCTTGTCCAGAGAGGAGTTAAGAGTCACCCACATCGCTGTGGGTCTGGAGTCACATGTTGGCCTGACCAGGTAAGGATGTCAGATTTCCTTTCCTAAAGGACATTAGTGAACCTGATGGGTTTTTTTCACGAACAATCAACATGGTCATCATGAAGATCTTGATTCTAGATTCTTATTGGATTCCAGCTCCACCCTCTGCCATTCTGGGATTCAAACCCAGGCCCCTAGAACATTACCTGGTTCTCTGGATTAATAGTCTAGGAATAACATCACTAAGCCGTCATCTTCCCCTTAGTCCTAAGAGCCTTTCCTTAATATTAGGTGGTGTGGGTGTCTCACTAGCTCTCTGGTTGGTGGGTGAGACCCCCCATTGCCTGCCTGAAATATTGCCCATAGGTGTAGAAATCAGTAGGTGCTGTAGACAGTCTCTTTGACGAGAAGAATTGACAAAGAGGTTGGTCAGCAAGATAGGTTTCAAACAGGGTCTTAACAGGAAGCTGGCTAAGTAGTGACATGAAATGACCTGGAAAGACAATGCTGAAATGGAAGTAGGAGGGATCTATATTGTGTACGCAGCAATGATGAAGTGAAAAAAGAATAACATCCACACAAAGCCAGAATTGGACAAATCTGGTTTGGAGGACTGGTATAGCATCAGAAAACGAAACAGAGATTGGGATGGGTCAGAACTATATCAGGATTTAAATGCAACAATGTGAATTTTAAAGATCAGGATTACAGGGAGACGGGGGGCCAGTGTTGGTCAGCAAGGATAGGGGTGATGAGAAACTGTAAGTTACTGTGGAATACGATACAGGAAGCAAAGTCTTGGATGAGCTGAAGTTTATAATAGGTGGAGGATGGGAGGCCAACCCAGGATGGTTGAGGACTAATCAAGTGTGGAGTTGATGAAGGCATTGCTAATGCAATCCTCTTTACTGCAGTACAATCACTAGGTCACGTGTAACATTAACAGTCAGTACAAGTTTGGCACAGTTGGTGATTCATAAAGACAGACACAAATGCTCCTACATGATACATGGATGCCATTACAAAATAATTTATTACATTTAAATATTTTTATTAAGTGCATAACTGCATGAAACAAAGTGTTCTTTACAGCTCATACTTTAATAAGAAAAAGTACAATGTATTTTTGCTCTCAGTGAGATGTACATTATATATTGGACACTACATCACAAATGTAGAGGCTGCAGAGTGTCAGTTTCTTTATTTCAGACTGATCAAGTTGTAGAGTTGAAAAGAAGGCCATTCAATCCACCCCGTCTTTGAAATAAATATTAAATTCTGTCCAATAATGCTCTGATGAAATGTTTTGGATGTTTTATCCTGTTAAAAGCAAGTGCAAGGTATTATTAGAGTTTTGCTACTTCTGTGCCTTGTTATAAATATGGAAGGTTATGAGATTTAACAACGATCACATTTCACTAGCGATTTTGCGTCACTTTATAGCCTCTTCCCAAAACAATATGCTAATGTCAGTTTAAGTCATCTATGTTTTAGACTGAGATAGTCATGGAATTAGCACTTCCCCAGTTGACTATTACGTTCACCAAATCGCTGGTTTATTTGACTGGGCATGTCTTCGTTTAGTACAGAGGTATTCTTCATGGATAGCGCCAAAATCTTCATTACTTTCCCATGGATTCAATACCAGAATTCACTCCTCAAATGTAAAGAACAATGAACAGAGCATGTTGCCCTTGCTATCCAATGCACCACCCAAGTACCCTGAAGAAGACGATTTGTATTTAAACAGTGATTTGTTAGGAAGGTGGGGAGGGAGGGTGATCAGTTAGCCCAGTTGACTGAATAGCTGGTTTGCAACACAGAGTGATGTCAACAGCATTAGTTCAATGCAGACACCAGTTGAGGCTACCATACCGGACTCTGCTTCTCGACCTCTCCCCTCACCTGAGGCATAGTGACTCTCCAGTTAAACCACCTCCAGTTGTCTCTCTCTAATGAGAGAGCAGCCCTATGGTACATTACTTTCCTTTTCCTTAGGGAGGAATTGAATTCCTTGAAATAGGCCTATGTTGGCAATTCAGAAACTGAAGAGAAAATGTATCCTGTGAAATCTTTCTAAATAATTTGCATACGAAAAGGAATTTAGGATACAAAAAGCAAATGTCATTTCCACAATTATATTCTTGACAAACACAAAAAGAAAACAAAAGGAAATATATTCACCTATTTTGTTACAATTCTATTTACTGAACAATGTCTTACTTCGATTTTATGATGAATGGGAATTAGTTTTTGAAAAACATTGCCTTATATATTCTACATCCAGCAAACAGGAGGGCCATGACAAATATAAATATCAGTATTTTTTCAAATACTTCCACGTAAGAAATTCTTAAAAAAAACAAATTGGGAAAAGAAATTCTTTCTCTTTTCTCTTGAAATCCTGTAAAACCATCTCTGTTCCTTAACCAAGGAGCATGGAACAGGGGAAAGATATTTATGCTCTCAAACATGTGCAGCTACCATCAATCAAATGATTGTCACTTGTGACCCTACTCAATATATCCACCTTTGCCCCACATCTTTTGATACGTTTCCGTTTACTAAAATCTATCCATTTCATATTTAAACTGAATTAAATTTAAAATTAATAAAAACGAACAATTCAGGGAATACAGCCCTGGTTTGTATTCTAGTATCTGTAGCCCATCAATTTAGGGAATACAGCCCTGGTTTGTATTATAATAAATGTAGTCCATCCAGCATACACATGATAACAGACCCAAAGTAAAGTGGTTGACTCTTGACTGGCCCCTGCAAAGGGTGTAACAAGGCATTCAGTTCCAAGGTAATTAGGGACGGCTGATATATGCTGGTCTTGCCACTGATGCCCACATCCATTGAAATAATCCATTTTTAAAAAAAATCTACATTGCAGTCTCTCGAAGACTGATATATCTTCCCAAAGATGTGGAGCCTGGAACTCCTCACAATACTCCAACCTCTTGTGGTTTATAGTATGTTATTGTATATTTCTCCAGATATTAAAGCCAGCTTGGGCTTGCTGACCATCACTGGCCGCCAATATCTTAAGTTCAAATTCTTCTTTGGCCTCCACCCTCCCTACTTCTTCAAGAATGATTGTTAAGGATTCTCCTGGGAAAGGCCATCTTTCAGCAACTCGTTATGGAACTCTCAAGAGGCAAGCAATGTTTCCCCATCTCAGCTCATCTCAATGGGATTCAAAAGGAGAAGTGATTAGCCTTGGCACTACTGGGAGAAAGAATAATTTTAAACCCATTCAATGCTTCTGCTCTTGAGAACTATACAGAGGTCTCAGCTGGTGAGTATGTTGTAAGGATACTGACAGATCCAGGACCGAAAGGAATGCCTTTGTAGTCTCATAGTGTATGTTGACATTGACCATCTCATTCAGAAAGCACTGATTTAAGGTACTGGAGAGAAACTGGCAGTTGTGAAACTTTACTCCTGCCACCATAACAACCTGCATTTGTCAGATACCTCATGGCATGTGCCACCTCTGCCAGAATGTTGCACAGGGTAAAGCTTATTTAAGGTATTTCATTGCTACCAATCCTCCTTTGTCTATCATATATCTAGGGTATGTTTTATGATCAGTGATAGGGATAACGCAATGGTGAGCCCAAATAAAAGAGGTATTTGTTTTCATTAACAAATGGTTTATTGCATGATAGCAACACATACAGCTATATTACCAGTTAGGTATTGAAATATAGAAACTAGGAGCAGGGAGTTGACTATTCAGCCCCCTGACCCTGCTCCTCCATTCAATAGGATTATGACTGATCATCTAACTCAGTACCCTGCTCCCACTTTCTCCCTGTACCCTTTGGTTCCTTTAGCCCAAGAACTATATCCATCTCCTTCTTGAAAGTTTTCAATATTTTGGCTTCAACTGCTTTCTGTGGCAGAGAGTTCCACAGCGTCACTAGCTTGAGAGAAAATAATTTCTCCTGATCTCAGTCCTAAATGGCCTACCTCATATTCTTAAACTTTCTCCCATGGTTTTGGATTTGTCATCAGGAACATCCTTCCAATGTCTATCCTGCCCAGTTAGGATTGTATAGGTTTCTATTAGATTCCCTTCATTCTTCTAAACT